GAGGTATCTGGTAGCCATGCTCATAAAACAACATAAGGCCACAGGGCGTCAAAAACCGGGGCGGGGGGGGGGGGGGCGGCGGTGAATTCCTTCCATTTCTAGGCACTCAAAACATCCAACAGGCCTTGATTCCACTCAGTTTGCCTGATCCTTGCAGGTCCTTTTGAGGCCACAGCTTTGCTCTTCCAAGCCCGTAGTTCTAAGCTCATTCATGCTTGTTCTCACACTTCCCCTTGGAATCCAGAAGGCCACAGGACTGTGTGGATTGGATTACTTGGGGTGGTCAGATTTCCTCCCCTTTCACCTCCACTCCTCCCTGCCCACCACTTCCGCCAAGTTACGGCCACCAGGAAAAATGATAAGACATTTATTGAGTCATCTACAGCACGTTGACATCCTTCAAATCCCGGGCAAGGTTGTGAGCACAGCATTAACGGCGGCAGCGGGAGCAGTGAGGTCTTCGGGGTTTATCTTTATTGTGGGAGATGAAACACAGGGGGGCCTGGTTCTGTAAGTGAGCCTGGAGCCCCCTCTGGGATGCTGGGCACTGGCCCACTTTAGCCCTCACAATGGGCAAACCACAGAACACGGACATAAGACAAGACAAAAATGGCCAAGCACAGACACATCCCAGGACCTCACATTTAGGGAAAGAAGAAAGGAGGACATAGCCCACTTGAGGAATGTCCCACATCCTTGAAGAATTCCCATGGAGGTGACAGAGAAATCACCACCCACATGAAATTCTCCCCCTCCTAACCCCAAGAGCAAACTGAATCAGTTGACAGAGGTAAGCCTGGCCTCCTGTGTCCATCACAGCCCACTGGCCTCCCCCCTGCCCCCAGTGCTGGTAGTTTTACAAATGGGGCAAAAGTTAACCCAGGATGGCTCAAAGCAGTTGACAAACAGCACGGGGTCCCTTTCAGGGGTCTTCACCCTAGTAACCAGCCCACACCTGTGTAGTTCCCAAAGCCCTTGTATACACAAGGATGTCTCACTTCAACCTCATCCTGGGCTGGGGAGCAGATTGCAAATCATGTCCTCCCATTTCTCAGATTAGGAAGCAGAGGCTCAGAGAGACTGAGTCTTGGAGCACAGAGCAGGCAGAAAACCCCAGGCTAGAACACGGTTCACTCCATGCCACATCCACTCCATTGCTCTTCCTGCAATTTGGAGTCCTAAGAACTTCTGTAGCCAGAGCCCCTTTCTTGCGCAAGACTGAATGTTTTCTGTATGGATGCTTTATTCCGGCTCACGCACAGGGCTGGGCAAATGCTGGTGGGCCCATTGCCTCAGTCGGGCTCGTAAAGCATACTGGATCCCAACACAGTCCAGGCACCATGCTAAACCTGCCGGTAAGTGATTTCTCATCAGCCCAATGGGGAGGTTTGACCTGCAGAGCTGTTGTTATTCCCAGCTCTAGTGCTTTGTGAGTCTCCCTAAAGCTATATGGGGAAGGGGTCAAGGCCAAACAGCAGGTCACTGGCAAAGCTGGGAGAAGCCCAGGTTCCCCACTCCCTGCTCAGAGCTCTTCTGACAGGCATCCAGGGTCACTGGGCGCAAGGAGGAATTGATGATGACAAAGCACTCACTGCTTTCACTTTGGAGTGGCCTTGAGGGGGTCAAGGGTACTCACAGAATCACAAAGAAAGCCTCTCTCTAGCTTTCCTTCCAGGAAGGGAAAGGGTCAGATGGAAGAGGTGAGTCAGCACACTTGGTGGGTGATGATGTGTATTCCAAGCCCTGGGCCCAGCTCTAGCTCCCTGGCCCTGTTCCCCAAAGAAACTGGTTTGGGGAAGGGTGGGGGTAAGAAGAGGAATCACTGCAGACCACTGGATAGGTTGAGAAGGGCCACAGAGCCACCCACTGAGACAGAAAATGTGGCCTGGCCTTAGGTATGGTAGGCAGTTAAGAAGCCCCCAGTGCTGGGGACCACCAAGAAGTTACTGAACCCCCCCCACCACCCCTGAATCACACACTCTCTCCTCTCAAGGGTTCCTTGACAACCTCAGCATCCCTAATTTGGAATCCCATTTCCCCCAGTGTTGGAGACTCTCCTAACACGGTCTGTCCCCTGGCGGAACATTCATAAAAGAGGTTGAAAAATCTCTTCATCCCAAGAAGAACTCAGCCTCCCCTGGGTGACTGTTGCCCTTTAGGATTGCATAAAACAAGGAAGAAAAAAAAAATAAATAAACCCTTCTGGTAATGATCTTCCAGAGTCATGGAGTAGGATAACTCCACTCCTCTCCAGCCTGACCGTTCCCAAAGCCCTCAAACCCCTCCCTGCTCACCAGCATTTCTTACCTTTTCCCAGGCAGACAAATAACAGTCTTTGCCTGGCGCCCATTCCCAAGTAAGTAGATGGCTGGGGTTTAGAAAGAGAATTCCAGGGACGCAGTGGGCTAAACAAATCACCTAGTTCTACTGCCCATTTTACAGATTTGAAAACAAAGACTCAGTGAGGGAAAGGTTTTGTCCAGACCTTATGCTATCCCCCCATTGCCTATGACCCTGCAGGCCAGCTGCCTAACCTTCTGGAACATTCAAAATACATGGGGTACATCTGTTCACAAGACGGTCAATAATTCGTTCAGACAGAAAAACCAACCAACCAACCAACAGGAACCTGGAACCTCTACAAGGATCCAACCCAGGGCTCAGGTGGCAGCACAGAACATGGGATTCTGGGCTGATGATGTTTTTGCTGTTTTGCGATGATGTATGTATAAAATCAAAGTCTCTTTTTCCACAGTGAAGCAGAGCTGCTGGTGGGGATGGGGACGAAGAAATGAGGTCCACTCAGGGCACCGCTCCTAGGATCTGGAGGTGGCTACTGTCCAGGTAGCCTTGGCACCCTGCCCGGGCTAGGGACACAGCTGGATCTGCACATCACACCCGAGGCCCCTGTCCAATTGTCCCTGGCATGACCCCTCTCTCCAGCCCACCAGCTTCCCCTGTGGTGTCCCAATGGAAGAGACAGATGTTTCCTTTCTAAGAAAGGGCAAATAAACGGCATTCTCCCCTCCCTCCACATATACACAAACATGTACACTTCAAAACCTTTAGGTGATACGCTTAACAATGATGCATGCCCTTTTATCTGCTTAGTTTTGAACGGGAGAATTACTGAAGCGCAGAGCTTGGAAAAGCTTTAGAAGCCACTGCATCTCACAAATGGAGCAACTGAGACCCCCGAACAGGAAGCTCTGTGTCCACAGTCTCAGCAGTAGGAGCCCAAATGGGGCAGATTCTAGGTCTGCCAAAGACCCAGGGTCCACCGTGCTTCACTGGCCAAGGACACAGGGCTCATCTCTAAACCATGCAACTAAGTCCTTCACCAGTCATCTCGAGGATCTCTCCAAACCTGGACCCGCCAGGCCCCCAGGCCCCTTCCTCTTTATAAAACCAAGCTAAGCAGCATTCCCTCTCCACCCAAGTTCCCCAAGCATTCCAGAACACGATCACGAAACAGGTCTGCAAACACACTTGGACAGGAACAACACCGAAAGTTGACATGGAATGAAATGGGCCCCCCACACGGGCCATGGCACTCTAGCACTTTCTTCCACCCTCCCCCCAACTTAGTTCTGCCCCGTTTTGAACTCTTGGGGCTGTGGCCAAGCAACTTGCAATGGAGCACTAGAATGGGGAGCTGGGGGCTGCCACGCCTTGCATCTGCAGCTTCTTCTAACAGGCATGGTGCGCGTGGCTCCCCTCCCAACGCCCTAGGCCACTCCAGCGTCTGTGGAGATTCAACGTCAAGAACACACGGAGGGAAGTCTTGGCAAAGGTCTCAGAGACAGTTCAGTAGCTGAGCCCAAGCCCAAGGAGCTGGTGGCTGGGGCTCCTCGTCCATGAGGGTTGGGGGGAAGGGGAGTCCTGGGGGCCCTGACTCGGGCACATGGAGGTAAGGTGCTTCAGGATTCACTGACATCACAGGAAGGCGGCTGGTTCATCCTATTCATGGCTTTGACTTAAGGAGAAATGAGGAGGGGGAGGGCTTAGGGCTCCTCCTTAGGGGGGGGAGGGCTCCTTATGGTAGGTATGGGTGAGGAGCAGTCTCTCTGAGGCATGAGTCTCTCACTCCCGCAGCTGATGCCTGGGCATGGGAGGGGTAGAAGGGAGGCTACCAGAGGAACCCCCGCCCACCTCGAGTCGGGAGTAAAATAATGGAGCCAGTGAAGGTCTTCTTCCACGGGCCTCCAGACTCTTTCCATCTCCTTTCCAATCACATCCACATTGCTGGATCTTGGCAATTTTTCTTCCACCAAATGAAGAGCACCAGAATATTCCGGGACCCTTAGCCCCACACCCAAAATGAAGTCTCTGATTGGAAGAGTCCTGGAGCTGTCCACCGCCCTGATACCCAGGAGCTGGGCACCTGGGCACCTGGACACCAAGATGCTGGGTGTGGAGGATGAGGGAGTCTCAGCTCAGGTCTCACCTCCCCTAAAGGATGCTCTGGGTACCCAAGTCGGACCTCTGGCACGCCTCAGGGACTGGGCCAGGGCTGAGAAGGGCTTCGGGTGGCAAGCAGACTCAGAGTCCACACTGAAAGTCAGACACTGTGGGGGCTGTCGGGCAGGCCCCACCCCAACGCCCCCAAAGCAAGGTCGTCAGCCTCAGCTCGCAAGGCCTCACTCACAGGGTCAAGGAGATCGCTAAGGCTGGTGGAAAACAGGGTAGGGTGAAGCTGGGGACTTGCTTGAGGTGAGCAGGGACAGTGGGGTCAAGGGGTAGGGATGAGACAACTTTCCAAAATTTGTGGAGTATTTACAGGTCTGGGATCAGGGCCCAGGGGCCCATGGTGGATGGGGCTAGTGCCAAACGGGGAAGGGCAATACCCAAGTGCACCCTGCATCCTTCTCCCACCTCGGGGAGCCCGGCCTCCAGCCCAGGGCCTGCCCGAAGTGAGAAAAGCAGCTCAACATGCGTGGGCCAGCGCCTGCCCGCAGCCCCAGCCTGTGTACGGAGGAGAGAAGGAGGGGAGGCTGGGCTCAGGTGGCCAGGTTGTCAGCCGGGAGGCCGGACATGCGGATCTGGGAGCTGCTCTTGCTCAGGATGGAGAGCTGGGTGCCCCCATTCACCCCGCTGCTGGCCAGGGACGGGTGCCGGTGCTTGAAGTCCACGGTGAAGTAGCGGTTCACCTTCCAGCTCCGCCACTTGCGCTTGATCTCCGCCTGCACCTGCAGGGAGCAACGTGGACAGTCACTTCCGGACAGACAGCAGTCACTTCCGGACAGCGGTCACTTCCGGGCAGACAGTGGTCACTTCCGGGCAGACAGCGTCTCCAGCCTCATCTACCTGACTGCTCTGCCGGGGCCCCTCCCAGGCTGCCACCGCCACCTCCTGCAATACCCACTGACCCAAATGGCAGCTCGCAGCCCTCCAGGCCACCAATGGGAAAGGAATGCCTCTGAGGAGCTGACCTTAGCCCCTTTTCCCAAGTCACTGCCTGAGCAAGGCCTTCGAATGGCTTCTTGTTCACTCCACGGGCCTTGGCGCTCCTCGGGAAGTGACTAGCTCACAGGATCTTTCAGGGAATCTTAAAAAGCAGGTGCTTGGGGCAGAAAGATCAGGGAAGGAGCACCCCTTCCTTCTCAGACCATTAACAGTGGGCTGCGCATCAGAATTACCTGGAGAGCTTTACAAATCCAGATGCCCCGACCATATCCCAGAACAATGACATCAAAATCTCTGGGGTGAGGCATCCATATGTTGTAAAGCTTCCCCGGGGATTCCAACATGCAGTCAGGCTCGAGGATGGCTAACTAAGGTGCTCTCTGGGTGAACACACCCCCACGTTGCTCTTAGCATGGTATGCACAGGGCATGGCCAGCTTCAGCCTCCACACCCCCCCTCCACAGTCCAGCACCTCTGCGTGGAGCATGGACTGCATGACTGCAAGTGAGTGGTCCGAGCACCCAGCCCTCCAGTTCCAGCTGCCACCTCCCCCACAGGTCTCCTGGCAAGCTCCACGTGCTCCCACTCCCTGCCTCCCCCAGCCGCTCCCTGCCGGGCTCTATCGCCTCTCCTTATCTGACCTTTCTGGAGGCTGTCTTGGCAATCTCTGAACCCAGGCTTCTTGTTTCTCAGATGCACAAAGGGGAAGCGCCTGCTGAGGTCACACAGCCACAACCCAAGCACAGGTGCAAAGACTCCTACCCACTCTCCACACCCGTCTCCCTCACTCAGCCCCCACTCCTGTCCCAGCACCTCTGTTCTGGACTCTGTTCAAAAGCATCACCCGAACAGACTGGAGCAGGAGGCCCTAAGACCGTAGCTCTGGAAATGGAAACTGCGAGAAGGTTTCAGGCCTCTCCCGGGGTCTCTCCCAAGTCCCCAGAATCCCCACTCTACAGGGGATGGGTTTGGGCGGGCAGGTGGGCCTGCTGGGGTCAGTGCTGAACTTTGGGCAGCTCCCCACTCAGCACCCTGCCTGGCACAGCCTCATAAACTATAGGTACTATTTCCTGTGCCTCGGCCTTCCTCTTTCCATTTCTCTTTACTAAGGTGTGTCTTACAGTGCAAGCCCTGCCAGGCAGGAGACACCTTTACAGGTCCAGTTGATGCCTTGCACAGCAGGCAATGTGGGAGAGATTCTGGCACAGGGTGGAGGCTGACAGGAGACCCTAGCACTGCTGCCCTCCCCCAGGAGCCTGGCATTGCCCTGGTCAGGAGAATCAGCTCTGGTGGGCAGCAGGCTATGCCCCTGTCTGCTCCCCAGCAATTCCCACCTCCATTGCTATGAAGCCAGAGGGCCAGAATCTTACCTCCCCATTCAGAAAACAGTAGAGAACAGCCACCACAAAGCCCTAGGGAGAGAGAGCAAAAATAACCTGAGCATGCTAGCAAGGGACCTTGCGCACAGGGAGCATAGGAAGCAGAGGAAATGGGGAATGACACCAGGAAGCAGAAACATACAGTGACCTGGATGGGGGGGCCCCCTGCCCAGGAATCTGTGGTAAGATGGGAAATTTCTGCTGCACCAAGATGGCCACACCCAGGAGGCCAAGTGGCTACACCCCGGCTTTGGATCTCACATTCCCTAGGTCAGATCCTTCCCATCCCCAAGGGCCAGCTCTATCCAACTTTCTGCAAGAAGCCTTTCCTGGATGTCCCCAGGATGTTCTCTGGGCTCCTTAACCAGCTTGCAGGACCCTGAGGGCAGCACCGCTCCAGGATAGAACAGACCTGTGTCTTTATCCCCACTCCCTCTCCAGCCCACCCTTCCTTGGCCAGATACTCTTATACACAGCATACAAAAAACACCATGAGTAATTGCTTGACACAGAGTAGGCAGCTAGCTACCCTGCATATGGTCTTTACATGTACTCTTTGTATTTAGAACTCCTGTGCTAAGATAGGAATCCTGGGCTCTGACTCCCAGGCTGGGGCTGCATCCACACTACTCCCAGCCTCACCAGGCTAAGAACCCTAACAGGTAAAATGGCCTTGAATTAAAATTGGGGGAGGGAGAGATTAAGTCAGATACACTGAATAAGCTTCTGACCATCAAGAAGCTGGATCAAAGAGCTGGGTTAGGGCAAGGTGCTCTATCTGGGGACACGCAAGGTTGTCACTGCTGCCTTCACTGACCCACTTGTGCAGCCATCTGTTCATTAACTCACTAGGCATCCTCACACCAACGCGCTCACTCCTTCACTCACACGTTCACAACCCCACGTACTTATGCCTTCAGGCATGGATTCATGGTCCCCCCAACACGCTATTCCCTGGATCATTTATATTTCTGTTTGCTCATCCACATCTTCAGCTCTCTATGGCCAGGTCTTGTGCTGGGGACCCCAACGTGGGTAAGACAGAGCTCCAGTGCTCATAAGAGGCATGGTCTACAGGCTGGGAGTCAGGATGTGGACATGGAGGTCTCTGGAGAGCACTCTGCTCACACCCCAGGCTGAAGGTGAGGGATGGGCAGCCCAAGGGAGGCCTTGCACAAAACACGCAGATGTAGCCACAGGAAGATATCAGTGTGTGTTCTCATAGAAGCTACTCACAGGGTAGACAGCAGAAGGGGCTCTCCCAGCTCCCTTCTTTCTAGTGCTATTTCAGAGATGGAAACGCAAGGTTGAACCTAGGTTAAAGAACTTAGAACCACTGGCTGGTTAAGGGCCACAGCCCTGGCTCCCCATGAACCCCCCCCCCCCCCCCCCGCCATACCCACTACACCTACCTGGAAGGAGCCCAGCCCCAGCTCAAACACAAGTCTCTCCCTCTTGCTGACATTCTCCGGGGAGAAGGCAAATACCGTGTAGTGGATTCCAAATAGCGGGATGAGCAGCAGGGTGGACCGGGCTAGCCGTCTGTCAGGAGAGAGTAAGACAGTGCTCTTGGGGCTGCCAGGTCTTGATACTGGAGCCCTGGAAGGCAGAGATGCTAGTCCCAGCTCCTCGTTCTTGCCCAGAGCCAGGGCTCCTGTCCACAGACTCAGGATTCTCTCCCAGTGCATGAGGCCTGGGAGAGATGGTGGCCAACACAGCAGGGCTTCCAGAACACCCTGGGAGGTTCTGGGCCCACATCCCCTCCCTCTAGGCCATGTCAGTATCCTGCAGAACCACTAAAAATGCACATGTGAGTGTGTGGTTTACAGACACCCCTTGTGGGAGGTGCAAAACCCTTGGGAAAAGTGAAATTGGGACCAATATGGAATTCAGAAGGTTTGTGACACGATGGACCCTCAAGCAAAGCAAATCGTCTCCTGCTCTGGATGGAAGTTCCACGTACCTGAAAAGAGCTGCCCCTGGGGGGCCACAGAGGCAGTGGCTTTTTCTGAGTCGGGTTGTCAGGGACACTCATGGAGAGTGATGGGGGAGTACTGATGAGGGAGGGGGTGGGGGGCACAGGGGGTGGGCCAGAGAAGGAGAGACTCAGGAGGGATCCAAGGAAGGATTTACCGACTCCGGGAATAAACAAGCACCAACTAAGCCAGAGGAACCTACCACCTGGGAAACAGTCAAGGGAAAGGAGGCTGTCCACTTGGAACTTGAGGGGGAAGGGAGAGATAGAGCCAAAGGGACCTCCTTGTGTCCAGAAGGCTGCTCTTCTGGGATTCCTCTGCTTGCCATTGGCTACTAGGCCCGGTGAGGTGGGGCTCTGCTCTGAGGGGCGGGGACACAGAAGCCATGGTATGGAGTCCAAAGGGTCCACATTGCATGTACTTGTGGGTCCTGTTCTGTTAGAAGGGGTGTTCCCAGAGGGTCTCCAAGAGTGGGACCCCATCTTTGCCCACCACAGGGTACCGGCTCCCTCTGGATCTCTGGAAGAGCCAGCCCTGCCCTTGCAGGTGTGGTGTGCCCCCTGGGCCATCGGAGTGGGGGTGGTAAGTGGGAGGTCCGGCTCCCCTCCCTCTCAGTTCCTGTCCATGGGGGTGGGCAGTGGGGGGTGGGGGGATGGTCCTTTGATTTGGGACAGTTACACATGTGCCCTGCCCTCTTCCCCATCCCAGCCTTTCTGGGAGTCAATGTTCTGTGGAATGTGGGGCCTCCAGATTTCAGGAGAAGGTGAATGCATGGGGTCTGCGTGAGGGCCTTGGCTTCCCAGTTTCGACTGAGAGAGAAGGAAAGAGTGAGGGGGAAGGAAGAAAGAGAAGCAGAGAAGACACGGAGGAAGGGGGAGGAGAGGCCTAAGAAAACCTTCAGGTGGACCAAGGCTCAGCCCTGGAAGCAAGGAGCCCCACGCGGACCGGCGCCCGCCCCTTCCACCCCTGCCCACAGGCAGCCAGTTCTGCAGGGTCCGGGTGCCCTGGACCAGAGCTGGTGCCAACCGGATGCGAGCGGGTCCCACTCTGAGCCCAGGTGTGGTCCTCGAGTGGTCTGTCCACTCCCAGACTGTGGCTCCTTGAAGGTGGGCATGGTGCTGCCCTTACCAATTACCTTCCCCGCCCAGCTCGTGCCTGGCTGGGGGCTCACACTCAGAAGGTGCCTGCCCAGGAAGGGACAAACGAACACACAGGCCATGGGAAAGCCTCAGGGTTCTGAAACCTGACTGTGACCCGGGGCACGGGCCCTGCTCACCTCCGTGTGCCCCGCGGCTGGCAGCAGAGGCAGCAGGGGGTGATGGCTGAAGAACGAAAGCCCAGAAAGAAGTGGCTGGTGGCTTGGAAACGCAGGCACGTGGGTACCTGCGGGCCCCTCTATGACCCTGCCCGAAGCGGCTACCTTATAAGCAAAGTTTAAGTGAAGGGGCGCCTGGGTGGCTCAGTCGTTGAGCGTCTGCCTTCGGCTCAGGTCATGATCCCAGGGTCCTGGGATCGAGCCCCGCATTGGGCTCCCTGCTCCGCGGGAAGCCTGCTGCTCCCTCTCCCACTCCCCCTGCTTGTGTTCCTTCTCTTGCTGTGTCTCTCTCTGTCAAATAAATAAATAAAATCTTAAAAAAAAAAAAAAAACTTTAAGTGAAGGGGCTCGGGAGGAAAGGTGGTCCTGGGATGTGCCTGTGGTCCCTGCCCTCCTCCCTCCCTCCACGGACCTGTTTGCAGGGATTCGTCCCTGCAGTTTGACAGTTCTTGGAAACCAAAAGGCCAAACCTCTCTAGCTTTCAGGGGAGAGTGGATGGATGGGTTCAGTGTGTGAGAAGCAGGGACCTTCCAGACATGAGCTCAGGCCCTTCCAGTCCCTGGCCAGGTGGCAAATGGCAGCAACGGCCACACTTTCCCTCCCTGGTGGCTCTGCAGCAGCCCTGGAATAGTCGGGGACTTCTGCCAGGGACCCAGGGCATCCCAGTCACCCCTTTGGTAGATAGGGAAGTGGGGAGGGGTCCGAAGTTCTGGGACCTCTACACTTCAGAGCTGACCGGAGGCCTTGGAATGGGGACACGTGGTGTGAGCCTAGGGACCCCTTTGAAGACAGTCACAGAATTACCCTACAATCTGATTAAGCCACGGAGACGGTGACACAGGCCTCGGCCTCTGTCCTTCTGCCCCAGGGAGGCATCGATGGGCAGAAGAGCCCTAAAAAACACAAGGCAGAGCTTCTGATGGTCAGAGCTGCCCAAGTTATGGTGGGCTTCCCCCACTTCAAGGAATTTCCAAGCAAAGACTGGTCTTCAGTTTGAGATGCCCTGGGGCCTTAGTGCTGAGGACTCCCTGGGTTCAGATCCTTACCCGGCCAGGGATGTGACCTTGAGCGAGTACTTCCCCTCTCTGTGTCCAGTTCTCTCATCTGTACAATGAGGTTATTGCAAGGACCCACCTCACAGGGTCACTGTGGGGATTAAGCCACTTGGCACACAAAGTGTGAGGGACGTTCCTTGGGGTGAGGGTCCTGTCCCACGCAGGGGATCAGTCTATAGGAACTCAAGCTCTAAGGCTCTTAGAAAGAATGTGGTGGTTGCCAAGACTGAAGCCCAGAGAAGTGGGGGATTCAGGGAAAACCACATATCGTGGCAGCAGCAAGGAGGCTTCCTGGCCTCCGCGCCGGGCAAGCCCCGCTGCTCCCACCGGGCCCACAGCTCCGTCCCCACAACCTCCCCACCACCCCGCCCCGATGGCTTGAGGTTGCAGAGAACTCACAAGACACACAGACACCAACATGCAACAGCGCAGAAAGCTCGCTCTGTGCCCTCATCCAGCTAGCCGGCAGGTGCAAGCTCCCGGCGGCGGCAGCATGCGGCCCCCTCCCCTCCAGGACTCCCGGCCACAGCCACGCCACGCACACTTACAGAGTTATGGTGGACAGTTCTGACATCTTGCAGGAGTGCTGCTGAGCCCGCTGTGGCTTGCAGTAGCATTTCTGCACGCAGCTGCTGGGTGTGACAAGATCAGCACTTCTGTCAGCTGGGGGCATCGGGCAATGAAGGAACTGAGGTGGACCTAGAGCGACGCGCGGCTCAGGGGAGGGCAGAGGAGCCCAGGTGCAGAGACAGGGCGGGCGCGGTGACACGGAAGAGAATGAGGAAGCCAGGGGCCAAGACATGGTCAGCTCTGGACCTAGAAACGCATGCCCAGACGTGGACGGGTGTGTGCATGGAGACATACGCACACAGCAAGCACTCGCACTGGGTCCACAGCAGGTAAGGGGAGCTGGAGGGCACGTGTGTTCTGAAGGTGGGGGGCAGGCCTGGGTCTCAAGCAGGGGCCTGGAAGCTGTCCACTGAGTCGGCGCCAGGCTCAGAGCACGGCCTTGCCGGAGGTCCCTCGGCAAGATGGGCAGCTGGAAACACATGCCTGGGCCGACCCAGCCTGAATCAGGCCGGTTCTGGCCTTGGGTGTTCACTGGTCTTTCTCCTCTATATCACTCACTCTTCCGCCTGGACCTCCTCCTCTCTGAGTTCCCAGGCAGCTCAGCGTGGGCAAACCGGGGCAACAGAGGTGGGATGGATGGAAGAGATGGCTAATTAACCTAAATCTGCGCTATCCAATAGGACAGCCATGACCCATCTGCAGCTATTTGAATTAAAATTAAATTAAATTAGAAATCCACTTTCCTCAGTAACCCTAGCCACATCGCAAGGGCTCAACAGCCACACGTAGTTAGTGGCTCCCACATTGGACAGCATGGTCTAGGGCATGTCGATCCCTGCTGAAAGTCCTACGGCACGGTGCTGGGCTAGACTTCCTGATCAAAGTCCAACAGGCAGGGGCTGAAGGCTGACAGGGGCACGTTTTGGGCACTGGCCCACTGCCTGCAGAAACAAATCATCTTAAAGGAGGCGTCCACAGGGGAGCCCCGGGTGAAAGGCTTGCTCTATATTCCACTGGGTGAGGCACAGAGCTTCTACTTCCTCAGAGAAGTCAGGCTGAATTTCCATCTGTTCTAGCTCTTCACGGGTCCTGCTTATGCTTGGGTGGGGACAAGCCACAGAAACTTCTTTTCCTTCTCTCATAAGCATGTAAGACCGGGATCGAGGGCTGTGTCACCTCATCAGACGGCAGAAGAGTGGCGGCCTCCACAAACCTTCCTCGGGCACCATGTGGCATGGAGCCCTAGCACCTGCAGGTGACCTGAGCTGAGGGGATCTAATGCACATGGGAACAGAGACACACAAAGAGACCAGACCTTGGGCATTTCACCGATTCGTAATTTGTGATTCTGGCTCTTTGAGAGTAAGTCTGAAGGGCCTTGACATGTGCAGACATGTCATTTTGCTGAGGCAAGAATCAGTCACACACTTAAAAGATGAGGCAAGCCGAGGTCCCCCCAGGACCCTTGCCTCTGTCAAGTGCATGGTTTTCGTTTAAAAACTGGCACCCCTTGGTTCACACCGCACGGTGGGGTGGGCACTACTGGCCCACCTTACAGATGTGGGATGTGAGGGGACGGCATGATGCTCTCCCGCCCAGACCAGCGGCATTAGCACCACCTGCAAGCTTCTTAGAGATGCAGAATCTTAGGTGCCACCCCAGCCCTGCAGACTCAGCATCCACCTTTCCACAAGATCCTGAGGTGATCCACAGACAACTCAAAGCTTGAGAAGCACTGTTGTGAGGAAGTCACGTATTTGAGAAGTTTCTTCATGTGTCCTCAGTGAATGTCAGAGGTCTTGTTTCATATACATACGAAGAGATGGATGGACACGTGTAAGTGTTTTTCTCACAACTTAAAAGAACTTAATTGGACATTCGGGAATGGGAGCCATTCTTGTCTCCAGATTTATCCCTGCCTGGCCCAGATCGAAAGGTTGGCTACTTTCTCCTATAGCCAGTGGCCTGATTCCTCAACCGTGGCCTGGTTGGCGCCCAGGAGTCTGAGAGCCCGAACCTCAGGTGCAGCCCCCTACGTGCCAGGCTTAAGCCCTCAACCTGAATTCTAAAGCTTCAGCTGCTCTCCTCTGAGACGGCTCCTCCTTGAGCTCCCAAAGGGTTGTCCCTGCCCTTCCTGGGCCCTGGCCACAGTAAATACAGACTCCTCTGATTTCTTCAGAGTATGCCAAAGGCCACTTAGTGGCAAGTGAGCTGGGAGATCAGACCCCCGGTAAAGACGTGGGTCTCTGATGGGAGGGGCAGGACAAAGTGGGGGAGGGGGGCTGATGCCTGGGAGGGCTCTCAGGAGAAGGATCTAGGGACAAAGGTAAGTGCCCTTCCTCCCAAACACTCCACTTCTCCCAAAACTTCAATGGCTCTGTGCAAAAGGACCCACTGAAAAGAATACAAAAGGGTGGCAGAAAAGCCAGAGACAGGTGTGACAAAGGCAGAGATGTCGTAACCTCTAAAATGTTACTACGACTGGTGCCAAAGGGGAAAGGAATTTAATCAAGAGGAAGACATAACCCTAGACTGGCTGGTGAGCTCAGTTCTGATTTGGACCCAAGGGAAGATAAGAAACAGGCAAAGGTGCTGGGTGGGAATGGATCGGAAGGCTGGAGATCCCCACAGCAGGTACAGGGCCCGTGCCTCCATCTGGAAACCAGGGAGCCTTGGCTCACAGGCCTGGTTCTGCCAAGGCTTTGCTGTGTATCTGCAGGAAGGTCAAAGCCACTTCTGGGTCTCAGCACTCCCGTCTATAACCCAGGGAGGAAGCACATGGTTTCTTCGATCCCCACTTTGGTCACAGGCTAACCTCCATGGATGCTCTGGTGCTTTTCGTGTGCAGAGCTACCCGGGCTGGCTGTACGTAGCCCCAGGGAATACCCGACAGAATGCTAGACAGAGACCCCTGTGGGGGAGCTCTTGGAGGGCAGCACCCCTGTCTATTCCGCCCTGCTCCTAGTGATCAGTGCAGCACTGGGTCACTTGGCAGGCCTGCAGAACATCTCAGTCTGAACTGAACCTTCCCCATGGGGTCCCTCGTGGTACTAAGATGGTGTATACCCCCGGAACCCTGGCCCAGTGCCCAGGGAAGCACTGCACACCACACTGGTACTCCAAACCAGAAGCTCAGCTCAGTAGATCTTGGAGCTTCCCTGCCCACTGCTACCTCCTCCCCCACCACTGAGGACAAGCTCACGCTCTGTGCCCCCTCCCCAGCCTGGCGGGGCCAGGCAGTCAGGGCGCCTGAGCTCAAGGCTTTGTCTAGACTCTGACTTGCTGGGTGGTCTCAGGTGGTACCACTTTCCATCTCTGGGCCTCAGTTTCTCCATCTGCAAAACAGGAGTAACCATTCCCCGCTGCTGATCCTTAACAGGAGTTGTGAGGATGCGGTGCTCCTAGACAGGGGAGGGGTGCTTTGGAAGTGGAAAATGGAGCCCCACATGAACTGGAGGCCTTAGGCTGTGGGCTGAGTTCCTGGACTGACAGCTTCCTGGCTGCATTTCCTGCCATGACAGAGCCTGTCTTTAGAGTCGGTGCCGTCCTTCAGACACCGGGTATGAAACAGCCCTGCTGACTATCAACATCACAGTGTCTCTTCCCTTCCCCTTCCTTTACCCCAAGAGGCCATGCAGACCTGCTCTGTGAGGTCCCCAAGGGAAATACGTGTGGGGTTTCCCTCCCCCACCTCAGAGCCAAGAGGTGGCTTCCCACGCCCATCCTGCATCGGGGAGGCCGCTGGGAGGACAGCCAGCTCCTGGAGGCAGGCGGTCTCAGCACACTCGGTGCCCGCCCAGGAAGCTCACTCTCCCCTTTCTGAGCCAGCTGGCTTCTCACAGAGCTAAGGGCCGGAAAGGGCCGACTAACCCTGACCCCAGCCTCAGGCTGAGCCCTAGCCCCCACCCCAGACCAAAGGGAGCCAGAGCACATGCCAAGCCCTGACCCAGGCCCACGCTCCATGCCTGGCCACTGCCCCAGGCCTGAGGCCAGCCCCTCGTTCTGTCAGGAGCATCAGGTGAGGGCATGGGTGGCTCAGCGCCGCCGCCCCCTGCGGGGGTCCAAGCCCCCAACAGAAGCCATGTCTCAAACCCTTATCATCTGAGCAGCTAGAACCAACCTACAGGAAAGGGAGTGAATGCTGGTCTGAGGGCACCGGCAAGGGGTCCTCTCGGGCTTTCTTGGGGACTCCCAGGCTTATATTTGTTCTGGAAACAGAGGAAAAAACCGGAAAGCTGTTGTGGGCAGATCTGAAGGGGCTTCTCAGCCCCGCGCATACCTCTGGTGGCCCAAGGGGACTCGGGCACTGCCCTGAAACCTCCTCTTCCACCAGGTCCTGCCCCTTCCCATCCCCCCCACAGTCTCCCCTCTCCGACAGCAGACACCTCCCGGGCCCAGAGCACTCCAGGTGGGGCAGTTCTCTACAAGGCTGGATCCCACTGGGGCTTCTTCTTCCAGGAAGCCTTGTTTATACACTTATTTAGCACCATCTCTCATCTGTAACTTCCTGGAGGACAGGAAAGACGGTGCAGTCAAGCTTAGAGCCAAGGGCCCTGCTATACCAGAGCTATGACCTCGCCCGGTCCTACTGGATTCATTTCCCTTCACTGACAACTAGTTCTCTCAGCTGTAAAATGGGGATTATCCTGAACAGTTGGTGACTCAGCCCACCAGATTCACTGGGTGTTTCTGAGCATTAAATGTGCATGGACTGAGCGGCAAGTGCTGCTAGGAGCTCTGCAATCCCCAGCAGCATCGTCACTTTGATTATCCCTCACTGGGTCTCCCTGACCCTGCAAATGCTCACATATGTTGCTAAATTTCATAGGATCAAGTTGGTCCCTTATCCCGCGTGAGCCCCACCCCGGCTTGGAGACCACATCTGAGCTTTCCATCTCTGGGGCTTCAGACAAGCAACGGAAGCAAACCAACTAGCTGGTTCTTTAAACACTGGCACTTAAACATATAAACCATTTGACAAACGTTTGTCTATGCATCAGGAAGCCTGGAAGACTCTACAGCTCCACGTCTGTGGTAACTCGCAAGCTCCCAGCCCCACCCTTCTCTCCACCAGACCCTGGGGCTTCTTGCTGCCTGAGCTGAAGTGTGTGTCAGGGGCCGTGGAGTGTCCTTATTTAGGATGCAGCTGGGCCCCTGTGTGCATCCCTGCACAGGCTGGGGGAGAGGAAGCGGGGAGAGCCTGCCAGAGAAGAGATCCCAGGAACCGAAGAAGAAGAAACACTTCCTACCAGGAAGCAGAGAGTGGGGGGAACCAAGGCTAGAGCTCAAAGGAGAGAAGAGGCCGGCTTGGCTACTGCTAGCCTCAGATGTCTGAAATAACCGCGTGGGAGCAGACACCAGGGCAGGAGGGCTGACGCCAGACGGGGACGTGAAGGGAGCACAAGGGCCCTGTTTTGTGGTTCTGGAGACTAAGGCAAGGATGATCCTTTGAGGGCAGTCAGTTGCAGGGAGCCAGCCCCATGGACCCCTCAGTGCCAGGTCTCAGAGACTTTATGACTTATATGCATGAACAATTTTTGATGACATAACACATACATATAAGCATGGGTTGGTAAAAACTTGCAAAAACATGGAAGAAAAAAGACAGTAAATGGATAGCAAAAAAAAAAAAAAAAAAGGTGGAGGGTCTTTTCCAATGTAATGTAATCATCCTAAAAGCAGGGAAAACAAGGCTGACCAACCCAGGCCCTGGGCAGATCCCCCACTCCCACAGGAAGGACTTCCACAAGGGGAGGTGCCCAAGTTGTACCTACAGACCAAGGGCAAGCTCTGCCTCCCTGGGGAAGCCCCAAGGAGAGGAAGGACCTGGGACTGGTCTGTGGATCCTGCGTCCCCTTCTGTCCAGGACAATGGTCAGCTGGGGTCTTTCTGCTGTTCCACTTATCCATTGGCAGCCACCAAGGCTCTGAGCCCCTGGGATGGGGTCACCAATGAAGGCAGGACCAATCCCCCACCAATGCCATGAGAAGACCTCGGCCCCTTCTAATCTGCCCCCTTCTTAAAAAACTGAGGAGGCAACAAGGTAGAAAACCATACGGTTTCTACCTTGCCCACGGAAAGAATCCTAGACTGCGCTCCGATGTTCTGTGCCCATCTGGCCCTTCCAGCCAACCACAGGGGATCAACCTTGCTCCCCAGCATCAGAAGTGTACCCATACCCCATACACCCAGCTGGTCATTCTCCTGATCATCAGGCAAGATGTGTGAAACAGAAGGTACTTAGTCTGGTTCAGAACAGGTGGAGGGCTGGGGGAAGGCTGACAGAGCAAGTGGGACATGCTGTTAGGGATGTGACTACAAAAATACTTGTAGAAAACAAGCCAAATGGTCATGGAAATGGAGAAAATGCTACACTCAATGTTAAGGGTTGCCCGCAAACCCCATCGATCTCACACATATCAACTGTCCCTCTGCTCAGGGAGGAGGGAGTTGCAGGAGGAAGACCAGACCCAGAGATAGAGCTGCCCTGAAAGAAGGTGGAGAAGAGAAAGGACTCCCCCCTTCTAATACCCAGACCAGCAAAAATGTCCACCCGGCTTGCTAGTGGGGGTTGAGCGACTTGTACACGCTGGACTGGTGGTGGGGACATCATGCAACAGTGCATCCAGTGGCATTCATGAACTTCCCATAGTCCCCAAATCCCCAAAGGAAATCCAACTACTAAACAGCTAAGACCCTAATTACCCTAAGGATAATACCAGATTCTGGTATTTTCCATCTTGATTCCTAATGGGACACAGGATCTGACCGTCTCATCCTCTCTCTCTTCCCTCCCACATAATCACCATGCAGATTAGCAACTGGGTTGGCTAAAGGATAGGCAGGCAACTACATTTTAAAGGCACTTTAATCAGAAAGAAATCTTGCAAATGCCCCTGCTAGTCTACCCTGCCAGCAAAACCTAGGCCTTCTCCTGTGACCTGAGTGCAGGGCCCACACAGCTGTTGGAAGGGATGATGGTGTTCATATAATGGTACTTACAAGTAGATGCTGGATTCATTGCCTCCCATGTCTGGAGACTGAAGTTTCTGCACAAGGATGATGATGATGCCAATGAAGAGCACAAAGTTAACCTGAAGAGCAAAGAAAAAGTAGATGGAAATGATTCCGGGCAAAGACTGTCCACACCCCTGCCTTTGCCTGGACTGTTATTGCCCCAACAGGACCCTCCACAATCCAGTCAAAATCCCTTCTAGACTTATAATCCAAGATGGCGGCATGAGAACACTCATTTACCTCACCACTTACTATTGCTAAAATGACAGAAAAGACAGAAGAAAAAGAATTTCATAGAAGTACTGAGGAACAGGAAAGATTATCATGAGTGAGCCAGAAAAGTAGGCGATTTCTAGAAGAGAAAGAGCAAATAGGATCAGGGTCATGGAAAACAATACCAAACAGAGAAGAGGTTCCTGCAGAGGTGGAAACTGTCCTCTGGAGAAACTCCAAGTTCAGGGTAATGGAACATGGGGAACAAGAATGGACAACCATAAGCATTATTAATTAAAGGACTGCCTGGGAATGGCAGTAACAGCATTTACCTTCAGAGAAAGATCAGGGATGAAAATCTCTCTAAACAGTGAGAAGGGGGGGAGGACGGGGAGCAAATAAATAGAAACAAGGCACAAGGAGAGGACCACAAGGCAACAGCCTCCGAATGTAGCCAAAGCAGCTACAGCTGGAGAAAAAAAATGTAGGGCTTAATACTAACTTATGAAAAAATAATAAATACTGAAGATAAAACAACTAAGCATTCAAATCAAAAGCTAGGGGGAAAGTGCCACACATTTTACTTTCACAAGAAGGAAATTAATAAAGATAAAAATTCATTATAAAAAATAGGGAGAAAAGTGGAGTTGATCGATAAAAACTTTATTTTGGGGTCTGGCATTGTTGGTTTGTTTCCACGTGCTCCACAAAGGCAGTTCTCTAAGTCTTCTTCCCCACCACCAGCCCAGGGCCTGAACAGTCCCGGGAATTCAGCACAGTACCTGCTGCTCACTGCATAGGTTAGTCAAATCCAAAAGGAGAAAATACCATTAAATAAATTTAGGGATGAGAATGAGGACAACAGATGTACAGAATATTTTAAATCATAAGAGAAAAACAAAATGGGAAAATTGAAAGAAACAAAATCAAATCAAGAAGATGTAGAAAATCTGAGTAGAGAAATGACCTTAGGAGAAATTTAAAAAGCAATCAAAGATGTGTGCATTAAAAGGCATTGGGCCCAGATTACTTTACAGACCAGTTTCACAACACCTTTAGGGAAGATGTCATTTACAGACTACTTCATTGTTTAAAAGCAAATAAAAAGACAACCTCACAAATTGCTTATCAAGCTAACAAAACTCTGCTACAACAAAGAAAACATACAAATACATACACACACACACACACACACACACACACACACACACACACAAAACCAGAGAACTTACAAAGAGCAATGCAAAAACTATAATCCAAATATTAACAAATAGAATTTAGTAGTGCATTAAAAGAACAAACAGATCATGGTCATAAAGGCTTATACCAGAAATGCAAAAAAAAAAAAAAAAAAACCAAACTCAAAAACAAAACCAAAAAAACCCAAGTCTACTAATATTTCTTACATTAACATATTAAAACAGTAAGCTACCTTTACCCCCATAAGATCGGTGAATAGTTCGATAATCAAAACATCAACAAAGACATGAGAAATGAGTACTCTTGTATTCTGCTCATTTGATATCTATGAAAATATTAAATGTACATACCCTTGTCCCAGAAATTCCACTCCTAGAGACTTATTCTAAAGACATATTCACACATACTCAGATATGCATGAATATATCCATCGTAGCATTGTTCAGAAGAAGAAAAATTGGAAATTGTAAAAGTCCATCACTAAGGGAAGGGACCACTCCAATAAATGTTTCCAAAACACATTTGATTTCCTGATTTTTAAAATACACACTAAAATGAGCCAGGATTAGAAACTTTCCTAATTCAATGAAGAATGACTGCTCAAATCTATATAGCAAACACCATCCTCATGACCCCTAAACCAAGGAATAGGGATGCCTGGGTGGCTCAGTCGGTTAAGCATCTGGCTTCGGCTTCGGTCATGATTCCAGAGTTCTGGGATTGAGTCCCACATCGGGCTTCTTGCTCTGCGGGAAGCCTGCTTCTCCCTCTGCCTGCCACTCCCCCTTCTTGGGCGCACTCTCTCTCTCTCTCTGACAAATAAAGAAATAAAATCTTTATAAAAAAATAAAATAAAATAAAACCAAGGAATAAATGGTATAAATACTGGAAAGAGTAAAACTATTTTCATATACAGATTACATCATTTTCCTCCTAGAAAACCCATCAGAACCAACCGAAAAGGGACAGGAATGACTAAGAGTTTAGAAAAGTAACCAAGAAAAGAAAAAATGCACAAAAACAAACAGCTTCCCTATGCACCAGCCATAACCCACTAACACATACAATGATAGAATGAGTTCCAGACACAGCACACACCCAAACTGGAAAACACTTTAAAGGTAAATTGAATAAGACAATGGAAAAGCTGTACAAAATGACTCTATGGGAAAGACTAAATAAATGGAGAATCAGGCCATGTTCTTGGAGAGGAAGACACCATATTTTAAGAAAATCACTTCTCTGAATTAATTTATAAATTTAATGCAATTTCTCTAAAAATCTCAACCACACTCTTTTTGTAACTTGACAAGGATATTTGACAGCTCATCTGAAAGAGTGACTGAACAAGAAAATTTTGAAGGAACGGGGCGCCTGGGTGGCTCAGTTGGTTAAGCGACTGCCTTCGGCTCAGGTCATGATCCTGGAGTCCTGGGATCGAGTCCCACGTCGGGCTCCCTGCTGAGCAGGGAGCCCGCTTCTCCCTCTGACCCTCCCCCCTCTCATGTGCTCTCTCTCCATTCTCACTCTCTCAAATGGATAAATAAATAAAATTTAAAAGAAAATTTTGAAGGAACGAAGAATAAAGAAGGGGATATTAACATACCAGATATCAAAACCCACTACCAGGTTATAATAACTAGCACTAGGGGGCATTCACCGTGGAAACAGCCAAACAGGTTAGTAACATAGCATAGAATACAAGTAGACTATACTGAATGTTCATGATAAAGTGACATTTCAACATAATTGAGAAACAAGGGTCTATTTAATAAAAATAATTGAAAGGGTGGAATATCTGTCTACTGGGAGAAAAAGAAACTAAAGATGATTAGATAACATTTCAGAACAAAGAAATAAAAATTTAGCTAGATTCAGGACATATCTATAATAATACAATCCATAAACATGTTATAAAACAACTAAGAATACTTTTATGTCTTAGGATTGGAAAAGCCTTCCATAATGAGAAATAAGTTTCAGAATTTACAAAGACAAAGCCTGACAGTTTGTATAAAATTATGCAGACTTGGAAATATACTTGCAACATGCTTAACAGATAAAGCGTTACTATCTTTCAAACAATTAGAAAGACAATTGAGCAAAGCAAGCAAAAGAGAAATGAGCAAGAGAAATAAACAGGTAATAATCAGAATAAAAACAAATTGTCAATAAATGTTTGGGAAAAAGTACCTCACTGTGCTAGCAATATGGAGAAATTCACATTAAAACAATGAGCTACCATTATCCCCCAGGAGCCTGTGCAAAAATTTAAATGATTGATGTTACAAGCACAGGCAATGATAAGAGGTACGCTTTCCAACCCATCAATTCCATTTCTAGAGATTTAGTCGAAAGGAATGCTCATGCTCAAAACAGTGCACAGAATTGCTCCTAGTAGCATTTTTCATTATGAGGAGAAATGAGAAAATATAAATGTCCAACACATTTAACTAGCGTATCCATGTTGCCAAATATAATGTAGCCAGGAAAAAGGAGAAGGCTGGCTTGTGCAGTAACCTCTGTATTTGTCTCCTTCTTCTGCTTTCTGCCCAGGCCCCCGTCTCTTCCTCATCCTTGTCCCAAGGACACTCACCATTATGGAGCCAACCACAGGGCCTTTGATCACCCACCACAGAGCTGTGTTGTCATTCATATCCCAGCAGCTGAAAGACAGACAGACGGAGAGAAAGAAGAGAGATTAAGCTCAGGTCTGGGAGCCTGCAAGCCAATGCCCCCGGCCCCACTGTGGCGCTTTGCCCCTGCAGCTCTCTGACCAGGGGCTGGCTGGAGAGTTTCCAGGCATGCTGCAGACCCAAGCCCAGTTCTGGTTCTTCTGGTGCCTTGGTCCTTCCCTCTGCTCCCTGTCAAGGCAGGGAGTGAAGCCCCATAGTTAGAATCACCAATGGGCTCCTGGGCAAGGGCCATGTTTCCCCCTTCAGGATTGTGAGGGTGTGACCTCACCCTCGAAACCCTTCCTCCCCTCCGTAAAAGGAAAACAGACACTCAGAGCTGGGCCCAGAAATACAGAGGGACTCTGAAAACCTTGCACATTCTCACTAGCTTCTGGCTGAGATGTGGCTGGGCGGGTCCACCCGTGGTGCGATCAGGGTGCAGGCAGGGGCTGGGGATGGGGGTACAGTCTGGGCAGCCACTGAGACCCACCTGTAAGAACCTACTCGGGGCTCTGGCCCTGGCTCTTGGGCACGTACTCACCCTGTGTCATCGAAGTAGAGCCTCAGCATAGCCCACACAGACACACACACAGTTGGGGTCCCTGGGAGAACAAAAAAAGGAGCCTGGTGATAACAGGAAAACCAACAGGCTCCGGGGTCCGCTCAGATTTGGGGCCCCTGGGAGCCACTGTCCCCCAGTCAAACAGGGGGTTCTGGCCCATGGGGCAGGTCTCCCTTTCAGACCTGGAGTCTTGGGGACCCTAACTGTCCCTCACACCTGTGCCTCCTGGGGGTCCCCAGGCCTTTGGCTATCTCACTTCTCAGGATTCCCGAGCATATCACATCCTCCAGACGGTGGGCTTTCTATGGGCAGGAAGAGCAAGAAAGGGTCCAAGAACCAGACGTGTGGCATCTGCTACGGGAAAAGACAGCGCCTCCCTCCTTTGACCTAACACTCCCTGACAGCAGCACCGAGGATGTAGCTGGCCTTGAGGCCTGAGTCTGTCCGGGCCACAGCCAGTGACCTACCCCAGCCTATAATGGTGTACCAGTAGAAGTATCTCCTCTCAGGAAAGAAGGTCTCCACTAGCAGGGTGAAGAGGTACAGACCCTCGATGAACAGCCAGAAGTAGTTTGACACGACACAGTAGTGGAAGAAAACCATTATGGCCTTGCATTCCACCTGCGGAGAGGGTGGGGAGGGTGAGGGAGGCCGGAAGCCCCCTCTGCTGCCCCCCACCCCCAGCCCTGAAAGTCCCGCCCAGCAGGAGCAGGGAGAAACCAGAGGGCCCTTCAGCTCTGGCATGCTTGGGCTCAAACATCCCATGGATCTAAAAGACTCCACATTCCTGGATTCGAAGAGTTAAAAATGGCGGCATCCTGTGATTCTGAGTCGAAGCTGCCCATGGAGGCAACTCTACATGTGTCAGAAAAGGATGGGGGTAGGGTGAGCACGGGGCCCGCTCCCCTCCCTAGGCTCCTTCTCCAGCCCCTCCAGGTAAGGGGAGTACAGAGGAGCCCGCAGGAGGCTCCTGAGTCAAATAAAGATTTTAGACATCAAGGGGGAGACTCCCGGCCCCCAGAAATCTCAGACAGATCCCCCTGCCCCCTCCACATGTGCCCTCTTGGGTCAAGACCCTGTGCTCTGGGCTGTTCTTTCCATCTTATTCCATCAAAACCTATCTCCTCTGCTCACCTCCAGAGTTATGAGAACTGGGGAGATGGTCTGGAGAGACCCAAGCCAAGCAGCCCCTCGGCTCTGCCACCGGTTAGTTAAATGACCAGGGGCCCGGAAAACCCTCTCTCTGAGCCTAGTTCCCTTCTTGGGCAAGCGAGCCTTGGCGTTTCCACCCGACGCTCCACATCTGCTCGGCCAAGTACATACACAGACTGAGGGACAGAAAAGGACACGGAGCAGGGGTCTCGCGGGTTACTAGCAACTCATGGTCATTCCCGGATTTCTGCATTCACTGGGGACAATGCCTTCGCCCGCGCGAGAACACCTGGATGGTGGGGGGAGGGGGGGAATCACAGGGAAGGGAGCCCCGGAAGGGCCCTCCCACCAGGGGCCAGCGCACTCACCGTGGAGATGAAGCAGTGGTTGTTGTCCTGCTCCGCGTAGAGGATCCAGTCCTTGATGAAGACGGAGATGGCCCTCAGCATGAATGACACGAACAGGTTCATGTGGATGAAATTGCGGGTGCAATGCAGCTTCCTACACCAGCAGGCCGGGGGAGGGAGAGGCCTTGAAGCAACAACCCCACAGCAGCCCCTCCTCCGCTCCGAGATCGGCTCCGGGCCAACTCCGCGGCTCTGTCTCAGGGGCTCCCCACCTTCCCACCTCCTTCCCACCCCTCTAAATCCTCACTCACTGCCAGGCCTTTGTTGCCTGGCTCCAGGACTCTGAGAGACCAGACCTCCCCCTCCTGTGGCCTCTGTCCCTCTAGACCAGGAGAGTAAACGTGAGGCATGGAGGTCTCCTGCCCAGGGTCCGCCCATGGCCCCGGGCATGCCAGCTGCCCTCTCTCAGATCGAGTTTCCCATCTGTTATCAGAGGGGTGGGGGAACTGCCTTCTAAGGGGCCTCCAGGGCTGACATCCAGGGGAGAAGGTAGGAGTGGGCGGGACAGAGTAAGGGCTCCGAGCTAGGGGGTGCTGCACTGGCTTGAACGCTGCGGGTATGTGTCGGGGGTCCTTACCGGAAACGACACAGGATGACCATGGCAGTGGTGAGGGTGACAAGGGATGTGCTGTAGCCAACTGTGTACAGGGCCTTGACTGACAGGTAGTAATAATCCTGGAAGCAAAGCACAAAACGTCCAGGGCTCCACATGGGGCTTGCCCCAGCCCCCAGCGCCCTCGGGCCAGGGCCTGCCCACCCCAGGGGTCCACCACCCAGCTCCTCCCTCCTCTCTTCGCCTCTTGCTGATCTCACCTCCTCCTCTCCCCCCCCCCCAGTGCCTCTTCTACCCTGCCCCCCACCCCATCCCCCATGAGCTTCTACTCCCCTCCACAGTGTCTGTACTCCGCCTCTGCTCAGTAAATGCTTGCTGAATGCCAGAGCACTGACCAATCAGAACAGGCATCACCTTGGCCTGGAGAAGCTCCCAGGAGGCCCCCTGCTGGGCCCTGCCTCAACCCTTCAGTTGCCAGGCCACAGGAAGGACGCGTGTCCTGGAAGAGTAGCCAGGGAGGTAGGGGCCGTGTAGTGGGGGCTGGGGGAACTCAGGAAGCAAAGCAGACGCTCCTTGGCCCAGAATGAGTGAATGGAGGCCTTGCCCTCCGTGCGTCTGGCTTGGGTACACAGCAGGGGCTCACGTGCTGCCTAGGGACACGTAGGCCCAACAGGAGCCAAGGCCTTTGGTGGGGACACCCGGTCACCAGCCTCCTCAGCCCCACCCCTGCCACCTCCCCGTGGGGACAGCCACTCACCTGGTCCCCGGGCTCGTATTCATCATAGTCATCAAACCCACACGCATCTACGTAATGAGGGAACGGCTCTGACCATCCATCCTCAGTGCAGTTCCGGCTCACCACCCTCATGTCTGCAGTAGAACAAAAACTCAGTGGGGCATGGGAATGATTTAAGAAAACCCTGCAATTCTTACTTGAAAATTACTTCTTAAGTGAGAATTTCTAGAAACCCATATGCGCATCTGGGAAGATGGTGATTGAAGGTTCATGAAATTTTCCACCGTCCGCGGGAACATAGCAATTGCTGGTGGCCTCAAGCTCAGCCTTTACACGAAGGACACTGGGGAGGACAAGGCACAGCCGATCTCTTAACAAGGGCTGAGGGGACCGGGCCTCCCTCTCTTCTGGAACTGGCAAACGCTCACTGACCAAAGGCCGGAACCTCTTCCCAAGGCCCTGGGTCAGCACTTGTCAAACGTCGGTGAACAGGCATGAATGATGTGCGATCACCGTTGCAGACTCCAGCCGCCAGCGCACTCCAACCCCCGGATTCTGGTCCAGCAGTCAGCTCAGGCGACTCTGGAGCTGGAGTGCCCTTCAAACATCAGGAGCTCTGAGCCTTGCAACAGCTGCAAGATCCCGCACCAAGGGGACACATGCATGGCTTGCTTGATTAACAAGGACCAGACCTCCATTAACCTAGCGCCAGATCTTATTAAGATATGTATTTAGGTTTAAAAAAAAAAAAAAAGAAAGAAAGAAACTTTTGTCCTCCCAGGTTTAGAGGTCTGTTTCCTGTCACTAACGTACTTTAATTTCCTTTTGATAGACTGTAAAGGCCATTTCGTAGGACACCAAAGGGGAGGGAGTCATTTACAGTCTGTAGGGTGGAATCTAGATTGGTTTTGGCCCCGCCTGGGGCCTTTTAGCCTTTAATGATTGCTCGTTTTATCTTCCCCTCTCCTGATTTGTCTGTAAGGGTGAACCACGGCCATCCCGTGGAGGGGAGAAGGCAAGCAGCCCCCTCTGCCTCCAGCCCTGGACTGTGGCCCCAGACCGACCCCTGTTCCCAGACTGGCTTCCTGGGAGTTTACCTGGCATCTTAGGGCACGTGGCAATGGTTCTTTCTCTCACAGGATTCAGGGGCCAGGAACTTGTGTAAAACAAGACACTTCCACAGAAAAGGAGCTCCAGCACCCATGTTGCTGGAAAGCTCCCCCTGCTGTGGCCAAGGCCACCTCTGGGGAGGTGAGGAAGGAGGCAAGGGCAGAGGCCAAGACAAGAACCCCCTCTACTTTTCCAACCCCACGTCCTCGCCAGCTGAGTTGGAAGAGCTGAGGCCAAGTCTTTCCTTGCCAAGAGAGTCAGAAACACACTTCCTGGGACTCTGGGAAGAAGCAGAGGGTGGGTGGCCCTGCCACAGAGGACAGCTCTGCCCAGAGTGGGGAGACTACTGGTCTCTACCGCTTCTCGAATTTGGAGTCCTGTGACATAGGACAAGGAGGACGCCTGACAGGCCCAGGGAGAGGAGGAGTCAATTCTGTCCCCCGTTTTGATGCCAAATTCCTCCTTCTTCCAGCAAATCCACGTCAGTCTGTTACTAGCAACCTCCTTCCAAGTCCCTCTGAAAGTCTGCCTGTCCCGGGGGAGTTACAGCCTTGGCCAAGTCCCTTCCCATTCCTGGGGCTCCTCTCCTCTCTGCTTTGCCCACGGCAGGGTGGTGGGAGGAGGAAAGGGAAGCTGTTCTGAAAAACAATTATTTAAAAGTGTCCCAGAGGTAGAAGCCATTTCCTTTCTTTTATTTTCCTCCTTTCTCTGTTTCTTTTTATAAGACAGTGTGGGCACAGAGGCATATAAACCTTTTTGTTCAGAACTATTCCACGATTTTGCCACTCTATTGTTCTGATGGAAATCTAAAGAAGATGGACTATTCTCTAGATTGTCAAAACCTTGCAGTGACTGCGCCCCCTTCACTAGACTATTTTGCCCCAGCAAATTCGCAGGAGCACAGGATTTTAGGGCACTGGTTCTCAAAGTGGGCACCCTACCCAGACTAGACCATCAGCATCACTGGGAAGACTGGCTAGATATGCACATTCTCAGGCCCCACCCCAGGCCCGCTATATCAGCGACTCTGGGGGCAGGGAATCTGAGTTTTAATGAGCCCCCTAGGTGACTGAGGTCACACTGAAAGTCGGAGAACCACCGTTGCACCTGGGAGTTCCAAACTATCAGGAGTCATCGAATCTAGGGGATTTGTACTTGGAGTCCACAGTGTGGCTTCGAGAGATCTGTGCTCCCAGAAATTGTATGCACAACGTTCTGTCTGAGCACATGAGTGCAAGTTTCTGTGGACAAAATCCACAGCTTTTCCAGAGATCACACAGCCACAGAAAGGCCCTGCTTGCCCCAGAACCGGGCCGCCAAGCTCCGTGTCAGCACATACCCTCCCTCCAGCCAGCCCATGGTGGGCCCCAGTTTATCCCCTCACCTGAGAGATCCAAGGAGTTACTGTCAGGGAAATCGAACTCCCCTGCAAAGCACAGAAGTGGGCATGAGTCAGCACACATAGCCATCAGCGTGCCAGGGCTGTGCGTGGTGTACCCTCTACCCTGGAAGGTCAAGGCCATCCCTGGTCTGAAGGACAGAGGTGGGGTCTCAGCCAAAAGGCTGCAGCACACACAGTAGCCACACACCTTTCTGACACGCGCGCACACACACACACACACACACACACATACACACACACACATCCCGTGCCTTCTGGCATCAGTCCCATTTGCTCTGTACTTCTGTGATGCTGATGATGGCCCATGACTCAGTTCTCCCCACTGGGCCACAGGAAGTGGAGATGGGATATCATCAGGAAGGTGGGAGGGCCTCCGGACTGGGAGAGCAATGGAAAAGGATGACGGGGCCTTTTCCAGAAAAAGGCAGGAACAGCAACACAGGTCCTGGACTTGGGTTTCTTCTTGGGTCTACAAGCCTCCATCTCAGCCCCCAACTGTCTCATCCAAGGGAGCCCAGGACTTCATCCATGGACATTTTTTCTCTCTCTCTCCTGACTCTTTATACCACCTCCATCCTTTTCTTATGGCGAACCCCCTGCTAGCAATGAACCCTCGTTTCCTTTCCACTTCTCAAAACCCCGTTTCCAACACATAGCTGACATGCCACCCCCTCCAAGACGCCTCTCCTGACCTTTTCATTACCCTGCCTGCATGCTGCATAGTTAGGTCTCTCAAGCTTGCCCTCCATTCCAGTGTCAAGGCCACTGAGGATGTCAGTATCTACATGGGCTCACACACACATTCCGGCCTGTACAATGCTCATTTTCTATCCCGTCCACAAGTGTGTCTCAGCCTCCCAAATCAGCCCATGAGCACCCCGAGGCCAAGCGCTGTGTCTTCCATCTGCCTGTGTCCCCCACCTCCCCAAATGGCTAAGGGCAGGCGGTAGAGGCGGGGAATCTGGTCCCTGAGGAGCAACTCATGCCACCCCCACCCATTCCCAGCAGTCAGAACTGGGTTCCCGCTGGATGGACAGATGGACAGATGATCAGCAGCCTGTCCTCTCCAAGGTTCCTCTTACCAATGGTTTCTAGCTTCCACACTGAAACAGAGAAAGAGAGAGAACCCAGAGGTGAACGAGGGAGCTAGAGTTGGGTCTGCTCTCATTGGGTCCTGCTGAATTCCTCCCTCCCCCACTCCCCATGCCCAGACTTTGCCAGGGACCCAGGGGCATGAGGACTGTGGGCTGGGGGTGGGCCAGACACGGGAGACTTCTACCTCTCCCTCCAGAATGCGACCCAGCTATGGAGAGATGAGTAGAGGCATTCGAGAGGAGGAGGGGAGCTCGGTGCCCCTGTGTCTTCAGTAGCCTGCAAAGCAACAGCTACTACAGCAAAGAGATTCGGCCCCGGGAGCCATGAAATAGAATGAGAAATGCCATTCTCAACTTTCTCAGCATGTAAGGCAAGTCTCACTAACCCAGCTTTGCCAACAGAGATGCTAAAGGGCCCTGCCTTAATGAGCCATTAAGGATCAGGTGTAAATAACACATTCATGGTGCAGTTGCCAAAGGCAGGGACAGAGTGTGAAGGAAAGTTTTCCTTAAAATCTTAGTTCACCGCTGATTCATTTTGCCTTTTTGTTGTTGAAAAGAAGCAGTCTCGCCATGGTACCTGACCCAAAGCAGATGTTCAAGAAGCCTCAGGTAAATGATGAATGAGAGGGCTACATGAACGGAGGAAGTGAGGAAGGCGGTTTCCATAGAAATGCTGCAGGATGTGGCTGAGTCACCAGCTGCCACCGCACCAAGGGCCCCCATGCACACTGTACCCCGAGTTTGTCTCTGATTCCAAATTCACTTCCTGTCTGGCTCTGGGGCCACACCCAGCCCCCCAGCTGTCAGGATGGAAGAGCCTAAAGCCATCCTCCTTCTGGGCTGGCAGGTCTGGAGGTAGGAGGTGTGGCTAAACATCCAGAAGGGGAAGTGGGAGGAGGGCAAGGGAGGCATCTTATCCAAACCTTGCCTCCCCTGGTCTTCGGATGGGTCCCTGCACCCCAACATACTGCCACTCTCCCCTCTGCCACCTCCCACAAGCACCTGCCCCTCCAGGCAGCGTCCCGGTTGCTGGAGTTCCAGAAGTGAAAGAGAATATGCCTTCTGCCTCTCCTAGACAGGTCGGAGGATGGAGGGAGGCAGGACTCCGTAGTGGAGTGGAGCTCGAACACTCTCCAGGTCTAGAAGGACACTGGCCTAAGCCTTAGGTAGGTGAAGGAGGAAGCTGAGGACCAGGTCACAAGGTCCTGTGCATGAGCACCCAAGTGACTCAGATGCCTCCAATCCCCTCCAGAGTCCCTGCCGTCCATCCTCCCCTAAACAAGGCCCCAACCCAGGGCTCAGCAGTCAGTGGGACAGTTCTCAGGACATCACCTGCCTGAAGCCCAGCCCCGCCTAACTTGGTGTCCTGCTTCCTTCCACAGCCACAAGGAGTGGGGTGGAAGACCAGGGTCCAGCTCTAGGCCCTTCCCAGAGTTAGGGCAGACTGGCTGGAGAGCAGCCCTTCTTAGGAGTCTACAAGGTCCCAGCTGAAAGGTGGGAACTGGCCTAGAGAGGCCAGCTCACACCCAAAGAAGAGATCTGCACGAACCCCTCTTTGTCAGACCCTTCCCCTTGGAGATGTGGTCATTAAGGCCTTGTGCCTTTTCTCAGAGCACTGCCCCCCTCACTTCTGCCCCCTGTCCCAATATCCTGAGTCACACAGCTCAGACACTGCCCACCCCTAGGACTCTCAAATGGGTCTGGGGCCCCTGAATATCTCCACAGCACATCAGTGCCCCCCCCGCCAAGATCTCAAACATAGACATGTCCCAAGCTGAGCTCTTTGTGATACCATACCTAGTATCTAAGTGGGTATGCGGGTGTGTACATGGGTGAGTGTCTTATGCCCAGCTGCCTGAAGGCGTCTCATTGTGTGTCCATCTTTGGGTATCTCTCTGGGCCTCGGAGCATCCCTGTATGTGTGATACTGATAGTAACACCAACTAACACTACTGACCATTAAAATATGCCAAGACCTGGGCTACCATGTGCATTCCTCCACACGATTCTCCAGTCACTATGCCACATTGCCATTTGACAGATCAGGGAATGGGGGGCAGGGGACAGAGGGGTGAATTGCCTCACTCAAGGTCCAAATTGGGTAAGTGACAGAGCCCACATCCAAGAGCACAGCCTGGCCTCACACCCAAGGATGCATCGCGATATCACCCTAGGAGCCATGTCTGCAGGTGCTTCCGTGTCCCTGTGCGGACCAGGGTCTGTAGTTTCATGCTCCCACTAGCATGGGAGCTCTGGAACAGGGAATATTGGCCTGTAGGGGGCCCCAGGTCCTTGGTACTTGCATCCCAGGAAGGCCTGGGGCCCAAGTGTGGGGAGCAGATTAGACCAATCATGGCCTAGGAAAGCCCCAGGGGGAAACTCACCTTGGTCTGGGTTGAAGATTCGGAAGAGTTCAGGGCAGCTGACCAGGACCATCTCACCCACGCGGGCAGGCTTCCAACACGTGAGGTTGTCCCACATCCCAGGGCAGCCTGTGCAGAAGAGAACCCTGGTGAGAGGGGGCCCTGCCCCACGCATGCACGGACACTGCACACACCACACGCATGCGGGCGGGCGCACACACACCCTGGTGAGCCAGACCCTTGCAGGGGGAGGGAACGGTTTCAGGGAGAGAAGGTGAGGCTCACTGTGTGACGCAGGGCTCAGCCTCATCCCTGAAAGACCCGTCAAGGAGGAGCTGAACATTTCAGGAGCTCCTGGGGTGGAGAGGGAGCTCTCACCTGACTTTACATCTCCCACAGCCCCACGGTGCTGGGAGGATTGTGGGGAAGGGAGAAGCAGGCCAATACCAGGCCAAGGCGGGATCACTAAGCATGAGATGCTGGGGGTCTTTGGAGCACCCCACCATCACCCCACATGGGCTCCTCCTAGTCCTCCCAGCCTCCGCCATCCAGCTTCATGGGGTCCATGAAGGTCCAGCTGGACCATGGGGTCCAGCTTCAGCTCGGCCTCCTCGGTGGGCCCTCCCTGCCCCTAGGGGAGGGCCAGGAGCTGGCTGGCCTAAGGGTGCTGCTCCCGGCCCGCACCTGCCTTCCAGATGGTGAGGCTCTGAGGCTTGGAGGGCGAGCAGCGACCAGCCCGACAGGGAGGAGGGGAAAGCCGTCCCGGCAGAGGCCTGCGTGGCCAAGGCCCAGGACTGTGAAGGGACGCAGAGCCCGGAGACAGAAGAGGCCAGTGCCGTGGTGGTGCAGGCCCAGCTTGGGGGAGGCAGAGGGCTGGAGGGGGAGCAGGGACAGACCGAGGGGTGTTTAGGAATCATCAAGACTTGGTGCCTCGCTGGACATGCGCTGCTGGGAGCAAGAGAAGGATGACGAGCTTGATGACCAGGTATTAATTTGGGGGCTCAGCAGACCCTCCTGCCCCTCTGCCTACCATGCAATCTTTCCCTCTCCTTCCAGCCTCGGCCAGCCTCGCCTGAGTGCTCTCTCTGCACCCCCTATGGCCACTTCCTCACCTCCCTTCGTGCTCCACCCCTTTCTCTGGCTCTATCCCTCCTCTTCTCTCCGCTGACATGCCTCTGGCCACCAGCTGGCCACCCCTCCACCTTCCCTAACGGGGCCTGACCACAGACACCGGCGGCTGCCCTGCCCCGGTGCCTCACCCCTCCCACCTTGGACAAGATCACTGGCTCATGGACTTAGGGACAGAGCTACACACAGACAACCCCCGATCCTGACACCTGCACTCCCTGAAAACAGCCTCCCGGGGCTGCGTATCCCCACCATGAAAGGCCCGAGGTAATCCAAACCCAGCCTGTCCAAGACTCAACTCAGCATCTCCCACTAGAGCCCCATTTCCCGTCTCAGCCCCAGCTAGACAGACTTGAAGCCACTTCGGCCCCTCTGGCAAACCTAGCAGTCTTCAGGCTTTAGCAAGCACCCTGAACCCACGTGATTAACGAAACCTTTCTTTGTATACCTATAGATGGCGCATTCTTTCCTAGGAAAGAACACAGTCCTTCTGCAGCAGTCACCAGACCCTCCTGTATGACCTCTGAGCACTCCGATAACATCTGTAGCTGGCGTCAGTCGTGCGCACGCAATCAAGAAATGTTACAGACCACTGCACTCCCTTAACTGATTAACTGCCCTAAACCCTTTGAAAAAATCTCTGGGCCGGCACAAACCTCAGAGTTGGCCTTTGGACAAGACTGCCTTCTTCCCAAGTGGCCGGCGTCCTGAATCAAGCTCATATTCCTTTCCAATCAACACTCATCTCTTGAGTATTGGCTTTTCGAACAAAGGGCAGCCGAAGTTGGGTTTCGGTAACAGACCGCCCTTGCTATGTCTCCTCCTTCTTTTCCCATATCCAACTGGCCACCACGTCCCACCGGTCTGACCGCCAGGTATTTGTGAAATCCATGCCCTATTCTCCATCCCCACACCCCCACCAAGTTAAGGGGTAAGCTACCTTTTACTAGCACCATGGTCTCCTCACTCGACCCCACAAGGCTGTGACAGTGATCTTTTCAAAAGGAAGATCTGGTCGGGACATCCAGCCCACCCCTAGCAGTGCACACCTTTCAGAAAACCTACCACCTCAAGTCCTCAACATGGCTCCCAAGGCCCAGCCCTTGTCTCCCTCTCTGGCACATGGGGAGGGGGTGAGGCCCTGGGAAAGGGCATGAAGTGAGAAGGGCATGGAGAAGGGAGCCCCAGGGAACCCCACATCTACCAGGTGGGCAGAAGAAGTGCATGCAGTGATATAATTCCTAAGGGAGGGGGGCAAAGGTGGAGGAGGGAGGCGGCCACGTGGAGGGTCTGACGGCAGAGTACAGTTTCAGGAAGGGACACACACATCCTGCTGAGGGGTCTATAAATATGGGCTTTGGAGAGGCTTCTTTACCAGGTAAAGGACAGTCAGCGGGTGACTGAGAGAGTGTCCCACCTCTCCCAGAGCTGTCATGAGGATTAATGAATTCATACATGTAAAGCTCTTGGAACTCCAGGCTCACTCAATGCATGTTCACTGCTGTTATTGGCATTAATTTCATTATTTCAATTAGGTGTCCCTGAGAATCATTCCCCTGAGAGAGGCCCAGACAAGGAGATGAAGCAGAGCCCTGCAAGGTGAGGAGAAATTCCAGTGGAGTGCCACCAATCGGTCACAGAGGATGCCTGGGCAGGTGCTAGGCAGGGCGAGGGGGCCTAGGGCAGGCCTCATGGGCTCCCAGCCTCTCTGTTGGGGTCCATGATGGACTTCAGGTAGCCTTTGGACAAGAAGGCACCCCAAGCTTCCAAATGCAGAAAACCTGGTCTCTCAGAATTCAGACCTGGCTATTTTGGAATTCACACCCAGTCCCATTGACCTATGTTCGTTCTCCTGGCTCCTGGGATGACCAAGTTTGGGAGCTGGAAGCACCATAGAAAACTCAGAGGATAACAAACCAAGAAGCCAAGGACACCGGGGCCACGTGAGGGGAGCAGGGTCCCAGGTCTCACAGCAGTAGCCAGTTATTGCTGATTCCTGCCCACCCTCCACAGCAGGAAACCAGCCGGCACATGGCTGGTTATGACATCATGTCCTTGAAAGAGACCCAGTGGCACATCTTCGGCTGCCGTGGTCCACGTAGACCATGGAACGGTCATGGAGCAGGGCTGTGTCTGGCCCATGCCCTAGAAGCCCCAGCCAACAGATGCTCCTGTAATATGGAACATTAGGCCCTGGCACAACCAGCTGCTGCAGCCAGCTGACGTTCCTGAGGTCTCAGGGCACTTCAGATAGAGGGAGCATGGTCCCGAGGGTTGAGGTGCAAGGAAAGATGCAGGCCCCAGGCAGAGATGCCATGAGGGGAGGTGGGGGCTCCCAGGTTGGAGGGCAGAGGCATAGAGGCATGGTGGGGAATCCATGCTCTTAACAACTACTTACTCAACACCTGCCCCACCTCCAACACCCATCAGGCCCGGGGCCACAGTGGGGCAGGAAACAAATTTGGGAAGTTTGCCTGTGAGGGCAGAGGAAGCAGAAGGGCACCTGCATGTCCCTTCAGCACCTGCAAGGCAGCCTAAAGACTTGAATTTGGGTTGACTTCTGCCAAGGGCTCACTTCATGACTCTGACTCATTTTCCCTGTGTGCACTGCAAGGGCGGGGTGTCTCTGAGCATATGCCCAACTCTGGGTGACCAGAGCTCAAATTTGGAACAGAGATTCACTCACGACCTGCTGGTGCCCAGAAGGGTGGCTGGGGAGTCCAGGGCTGCCCTCTCTGGCCCCACTGCCAAGACAAACATCTCCCAAGGGGTACCTGCCAAGGTGCCCCACCCTACCCCATGGCCTGCCACACTATCAGAGCCCTCCTGGTGCCCTCCTTAGGTTCCCAGCCTGGTTCCCCTCCAGGGACTAAGGTTCCTAGGGGCAATTCCTACAGCACCAGGGCAGGTAGAAAGACTAGAACTGAAATCCGTAACTCGAGGGCCCAATCCCAGTGCCTGGGTTTAGGGAACTGCAATACCATGCATGACATAATAAGAATTATGTATTTGGTCTTAGTCCCAGCTTCCAGGCAAAGCTCCTAAACCGGTGGAATTTCCTGATAAGGGTGAGGGGAGTGTCTTTAGTTATTCATAAGCCTCTTTCAACCACACCTGAATTTATGCTAATGAGGTGACTCTGGGGTCATGTGGTTGGTTGCCGGGGGAATTTTCAGCCTCACCCACCACCCTCAGGAGAGGGGGAAGGAGCTAGAAATTGGGCTAATCACCAATGGCTTAGGGTTTAGTCAATCATACCTACATAACAGAACTTCCATAAAAACCCTAAACGATGGGGTTCAAAGAGCTAATGGGTTGGTGCATCCCAAACTGCACAGGGACAGAAGCTCCTGCACTTGGGATCCTTCTGGACCTCACTCTATGAACCCCTTCATCTGGCTGTTCTTGTATATCCTTTATAGTAAACGTGTTTCCCTGAGTTCTGTGAGCCATTACCGCAAATTATTGAAACTGAGGAGGAGGTAGGTCATGGGAACCCCCAATTTGTAGTCAATTCAGACAGAAATGTGGATGACATGGGGACCCATGATTTACATTTGGCATCTGAAGTGGGGGAGGAGACAGTCTTCAAGCTCTTAGCCAGTAGGGTCTGTGCTAACTCCAGGTAGTTAGTGTCAGAAGTGAATTAAATTGTAGGGACACCAGTCGATGTCCACAGAAACCTGGAAAACCCACACATTCAATGTCAGAAATGCTGTGAGCAGAAAAACAATTTTCCTTTAGGGGACAATGTCCCTGACCCCATCGGGAGCGCAAAGCCCTCTGACCGCCCCTCTGGCCCGCATCACTGGGGTCACAGGAGACTCAGGTCGCCACCTCAGGGCTTCGCAGATTGCCCCACGCACGCTTCCACAGTTCCCACCTCTCAGAGGTGGTGTGGGCTCTACCTCATCTCCCCTCCTTCTTGCAGCCTGCTCTGAATCCCCCCAGAAACCCCTTCCGGGGAGATGAGGAGGACGGGAAAGAGCCTTGGGTTTCTC